CGTCGCTGTACCTAAGCCAGTGTGACGGAGAAGCGAGGACGATGATGTGGAGTACACCGTTGCTATCGCGTTGCCAATGTATCATACGTAGTCGATTTCAACCTGCAGTGTGTTGTTATTCAGTGCCCTGGTCCACCGCGCCCTTTTTAACGGCAGGTTTTAATAATTGCATCATTTACCCGTAGGGGGCGCTACATAGGATAGACGGTCCTGCATTTCTTTCGTGTGCCATGTTCTTATACTCGTTGCCGTTCTCTATTCCAATTCTTTATCACCCCATGTTTCAATAATTGGACAATATTGCTCATATAACGTAAGCAGAGGGTACCATTGAAACAAATACATCCTTTTTCCGTACATCTATCTGGAGGCTGAAGCGAAACACCATAAAAACGACTTGTTCAACCGACTTCGCCGCTTGGGGGCCAAACATATTCACAACATTTTGCCGCTATATAGAGGGACTGTAATTTTACAGTAAACTCTTCTATCTCTTCACTAGAAACTCATTCAATTTAATCTGCTTGGGTTAAACTTCGAGATCGGCTGGTCATCGGCAAATCTGTTGTGAAATTATCAGCCATAGCACAAATAACTTTTCTGACTGATAACATGCGAACAAATTATCTTTTTTAAAAAAATAAATAATAATGTTGTGCTCTTAACGTATATAAGAATTGAAGCACAGTAGTCTAAACACCGAATTACGTTCAATGACAACGCGTGCAAAAATACAAAACACGAGCTCGTTGCATTGAGTGCCATTAAAACATATCCTATATTTTTACAATGTGGTCATATTTCATACTGGTTTTCATGCAACCCTATATAAAACCGTCTCACCATATCTCAAATGTTTTGTGTTTTCACACTCAATATTTTTTAATGTAAAAATGATTGGATTGTGTGCATTCACCCATTGTGTCGATTTCACTTAATAGCTTTCCCGTCGAATAAATATTGCTGAAAAACATTATTGATGACAACAAATTGATTCAGCCATTCTTTGGCGTTATGATGGCCTTCTAAATACAATTTTAAAAGCCGATATTTAACAAAATTAACAATATACAAAACCTAAAATAGAGATGCACAAGTGTTCTTATTTGCTAATGTTTTAATATCAAATCCTATAACAATTTTCCACAATCATGTTTCGCATTTTCCAGACACTAGATGACCCGCAAATAATATTTCGCAGTGAGGACAAAAACCCTGAAAAGATGATGACCAATGTCCAAAAAAAAGGTAAATAATTGTATTCGAATTAATATTTTGAACGAGAAAAAAACAGATTGCGTTAAATTTGTAACGGCAAGTCGATATTTTATACCGAACGCATTTCATCAAAGATGCGACAATGATGTGTGTAGAGCGCCCGCAATTGTCTTTTCTTCAAAACATGTTTCCGTGCTTGTACATTAGTTCCCATCATTATGTTTGTGTTTATAAATTTTCTTTGGAGGTTAGACTCTACTGTTGTTAACTTTGCGGCATCTTTGTATATTAGCGGAATAATAAGAGGCAGTTCTTCTGTTTAACCGGCGCCAAGATAAGATGTCCGGCGCCGAAGTCCATTTGCTGAAGGGTATCCCGAGTAAAACCTGAGAAGATCTGGCAACAATGGCAATTTAGTATCAACACATCGTAAATTTGTAACGGCAAGTCGATATTTTATACCGAACACATTTCATCAAAGATGCGACAATGATGTGTGTAGAGCGCCCGCTATTGTCTTTTCTTCAAAACATGTTTCCGTGCTTGTACATTAGTTCCCATCATTATGTTTGTGTTTGTGGCAATTTAGTATCAACACATCGTTTTCAGAGGAATTATTTACGCCATGGTGAAAGTTTACTTTTTAATGCTGTGTAAGACGAGAAGAGTCTGTTTTGTGATTTTTCAGAGACGATGTAATGCCACGGATTTTATCAGTATATTTACGAAACCATAAACACATGAGTTGCGCCCTCCGCGGAGCTCCAAACCCAACTGTTAGTCGGCGAGGGCCTACTCACGCCTACATGTCGGACTAATAAACACACTGATGGCGACAAAAATAAACATATCATTAATTAAAATGAAACTGTTCCCAAGTGACGGAAATCAAGTATGCAAATGTTCTGGTAGCTTCCAGAGGGCACCCTTTATAGCCTTGTGTTATACCTGTAGCTGTACATTGTAGATGGAATTTAGATTCTTTGAAAGGGCGCCCCCATCTAGCAGTTATTTTTGCTATTCGGGGTTTTCCATGTATATCGCAAGTATGGACTTGTATTTCAATTATACAGAATACTACATAGAACATTCCACCACACTTTACCGCCCCCATGATAATAACCAGTAGTCACAGTGTAAGACAGAAAGACTGTTGTGTATTTATCAGCGATGTAATTAATTGCAAAATAGATCCAAACACGTGTTCTCAGAAGTATATGCTTTATGTATTGGCGGTGTGGTGCTCTGCGTATACAGGTGTTATTTTCACGAGCATTATATGGCTTTTATAAGTTTTTATTTCGTTTCTAATGAATGGAAGGCATTAATATGAACGGGAAGCGGGAGCTGCAATAACAAGATATCGACATGTGCGATAATCTTTGATTGGTGTCTGTACGAATATGTTTAGTTAAAAAAAAAACATAAAAATAGCATTAGCAACGATATCAGAAACGAGAAATTAAATACAAAAGAAAAACAAACAAAAACATAATATAATGGATTGTATATATCAAAATAATAATATTATAAATATGATTTATTTATAACGATCTTGTCGGTATATAACATTTTTACAATTTTGTTTTTCTTTTTCAACGTAGAGTGGGTTTACTAATAACCTGATGACCAAATTGTGCGACCCGTATGTCCTTTATGAATAGTTTACATGTTTGCTTAAAGCGGGAGGGTAGTCACCTGCGTACGCGCGGGAATCGAGTTTCAAGCGACGATAACAACACACCCTAAAAACGCAAAGGCTCATGCATAGATGCTTGTTTGTAAACAGTGACACACCATGGCAATCTGACGCATGCGCAGGTGACGACCCCCCCCCCGCTTTAACCAATGATATTGATACTAATTGCGTTGTCAAATTCCTTGGCTAGTTGTGTGGCTTAAATTATTCATTGTTCTATTCAATTTGCACTAGATTAGGAAAACATGTTTCAATGCTGACAACACATTACTTAATGACTGGGTTTTATATTCGATATTTTCGTAAAAATGTGAAAACCTGCAATTTAAATGAAATCAATGTTTTTATATACAATTTTAGTCAAACGTATTGATGAACTGGGAGATCGGTGTATTTAATGAACCCAGTAAATTTGATACAATCTCAACATAGAGGGCGACCGACATTATGCATGATTAGAGGTACTTAGTAACATATTCTGAGATTTGTTTACTTAGCAATGATATATGTGACTGAAAACGCAATTAGACTTATACCTTGCTGAACCCAAATTATATTGAAGTTACCCCATTCTACTTCTTAGAAAACAGAAACGGATCCTATCTCAAAAAGACACCACAAGCAACGCATTTATAAATGAAGATACGTCTTATACGAAACTAGGCAAAGAAGTGACCTTAATATAATATGCTTTGGGGCGAAACTGATTACGGAAACCAATTTTCAAGATTGAGTTCCCAAGTGTCCTCCAGGATACACACAAAGTGCATATGCAATTGTTCCAGCCAAATTTACGTTTTTTTTTTTTTTGTATTGTTTTTTTCCTCTATAACCATATTT